TGATGCTGCTTATGTAGGTGATGCTGGTGTTGGTTGTGATGACGATGCTGATGATGATGATGAAACTGACGATGACAGTGATGGTGGCGATCATGATCAGGATGGTGTTGATAATGCTGACATCGGTGATGGTGATAATGGTGGTGGTGATACTGGGGATGGTGATGGTGAATGTGATGGGCATGGTGATCGGTGATGAGAATGTTGGTGATGAGAATGATGATGTTGATGACGATTCTTATGATGGTGATTATGACGATGATGGCCATGATGATGCTAATGCTGATTCTGATGATGATGATGATGCTGATGATGATGATGATGATCATGATGATGATGATAATGGTGCGATGATGATGCTACTGATGATGATGCTACTGGTGATGATGATGACGATGGTCATGATGAGTATGACGATGACGATTGCGATAATGTTGATGATGCTGCTGATGCTGATGCTGATGACGGTGATGATGCTGATGATGCTGATGCTGCTGATGATGCTGATGATCATGATGCTGAAGGCGATGGCGATGGTGATGGTGATGGTTATGGTTATGGTGATGATTATTGTTATCGGTATCAGTATTGTCAGTAGTATTGTTAGTATCATTAGTTTTAGTTATTGTTACTATTACTATTGTTGTCCATGCCCTATTAGTGGTACCATTCGTATTGTGTGAGTATGAATGCTATTCATGATGGTGGAGGTGCCGATGCTGACGAGGCTGATGATGATGCTGATGATGACGACGATGCTGCTGCTGATGATGACGATGATGATAACGACGATGGTAATGATGACGATAGTGACAATACTGCTGATGATGATGATGATGATGATGGTGATGATCGAGATGATGATTATGCTGACCATGATGGCGGTTACAACGAGAATGATGATGGTGATGGTGACGGTGATGATAATGCTTGTACTGATGATGATGATGATAATGATGATGAGGAGGAGGAGGAGGAGGAGGAGGAGGAGGAGGAGGAGGAGGAGGAGGAGGAGGAGGAGGAGGAGGAGGAGGAGGAGGAGGAGGAGGAGGAGGAGGAGGAGGAGGAGGAGGAGAGGAGGAGGAGAGGCAAGAGGACGGAGGACAGGATTTGGGAGGTAATGCTTGCGGTAATGGTGCGGCCCCGCGCCGGGGTAGGCAAAACTCCAGGCAAAACTCCACCTCTTCCGCGTCGGGCCCGAACTCCTCGCCCGCAGAGCCTGGGGGCAAGGCCTCCTGTCTGCCCCGCACCCGCACGCCTTCGTGGTCCGCCGTGTGCAGGCCGAAGGCCGCGAGGAGATGCCGCCGCGCAGCGACATGCCGCCGACCAGCAATCCCGTCCCTCCCTGGCGTTGAATGCCCTCGGCCTCTCCAGCGTTTCATGCTGGTGGGCCGGCCAGCAGTGCGGCCCCCTGCTCTGGTTGATGAGGCGCAGCTGCTCGCGGCCAGCATGGGTTCTGAGCCCCTCGCAGCGCGCTTTCAGGAGCTTGCCCGGCGTCCTGCCCTTCCAGATATCCCCCGCAGCTCAGACAGGACAACGCTCGCTGCCGGCCGCTGCACCACGCCGCAGCGGAGCAGGGCGTGTCTGTTGATGCGCGCTGCCCGCTCTTGCAGCTCGCCCCAGCTGTGGTCGAAGCTGAGCGGCGGCCCCGCCGTGTCCAGGTGGGTGCTCTGGGGCTCCTCCTCGGCAGGCGGGAGCTCTGCGCTCGGCGCCGCGTCGAAGTCGACCTCTGCCTCGGCCGTGGCACCCTCCTCCTCGCGCTCGGGCCAGAGGCCCTCTGCTGCTTGCCACGCAGCACACCCTCCTGGCCCAAGCGGCCTTGGTCGGTGAGCGAGGCTTCCAGCGTTGCGCTCCAAGGAGCCGCTTCCTCAGCCAGCGCCCCTAGGCCCTTCCAGAGCTCTTCGTCCTCGGTGCCGGGGGGGGGAGGCTGGCGCCTCGCTTGGCCAGCTCGTCAGCGTGGCACGCCGTTCCCAGTGGGTCGCGCGGCCCGCCTCCACGTCGGCCTGCGTGGAGTGCTCAAGCGTCTTGTGCGCCTCGAAATCGTCCGCCGTGAACGCACCCAAGAAGGGCCCCCGCCGCGAGCGCCCTCAGCGTGTTGGCGCAATCGATGTACAACTCCATGTGGCCCATGGCCACATGCTGAAGCATGAAGGCAACGTAGCCTTTGCGTCTGGCGCTGTCTGGCCAGGCGCCATGGCCAGCGGCACGGCGCCGAAGGCCGCGGCCTGCAAGGCTCCGAAGCGGTCCACTTGCACGACCGCCCAGCCCGCCCTCTCCAGCCCGACGAGGCTCTTGTCCTACGCGCTCCCGTCCAGGAACAACGCACCACTGAGCCTCTCCGAGCTGGGGCGGTTGGCCCAGTGCACCGCCTCCGGTGGCTCCCGCCTGGGGAAGAGAACCCGCGGGCCTGGCAAGAGTAGGGGTAATTAGGAAGGGGGGGGGAGGGGGAGGGGGAGCGGGAGGGGAAGGAGGAGGAGGAGGAGGAGGAGGAGGAGGAGGAGGAGGGGCACTGACTCACAGGGGTCCAGGGCCGCCGGCCAGAATCACAGGGGCCTCCATCATCACCATCACCATCACCATCACCATCACCATCACCATCACCATCACCATCATCATCATCATCATCATCATCATCATCATCATCATCATCATCATCATCATCATCATCATCATCATCATCATCATCATCATCATCATCATCATCATCATCATCATCATCATCATCATCATCATCATCAGCATCAGCATCAGCATCAGCATCATCAGCATCATCAGCATCAGCATCAGCATCAGCATCAGCATCATCATCACCATCACCATCATCATCATCATCATCATCATCATCATCATCAGCATCATCATCATCACCATCGTCATTATACCAATCGTCATCATCATCAGCAGCATCAGCATCATCATCATCATCAACACCAGCACCAGCACCAGCAGTTGCAGCATCATCCTCATCATCAGCAGCAGCATTGTCATCATCATCAGCATCAGCATCAGCATCAGCAGCAGCAACAACATAATCATCAGTAGCATCATCGTCATCATATTCACTATCATTATCACTACACATCAGCATCAGCAGCAACATCATCATCATCGCCATGATCAGCATCATCATCATCACCACTATCATCATCAGCATCACAATCATCATGATCATCTACATCACCATAATCAGCATCAGCGTACACAGCATCGTTAGCATCATCAGCATCATCAGCATCAGCATCATGATCATCATCATCATCATCATCATCATCGCCATCATCATCATCATCATCATCATCTCCATCACCAGCATCATCATCATCTCCATCACCAGCATAATCATTAGCATCATCTTCATCAGCATCATCATCATCATCATTATCATCATCATCATCATCATCATCATCATCATCATCATCTCCATCACCAGCATCATCATTAGCATCATCTTCATCAGCATCATCATCGCCACCATCATCCTCATCCCCATCACCATCATCATTACCATCGTCACCATCATCAGCATCATTATCACGCGTCATCATCATAGCCATTTCCCCTGGCTTTCCGATGTGCGTGGCTGTTGGCAATTGCCGCCCTGCTTCCCCTTCCTCTCCTCCGCGGGCTTCCCATGGTCGTTGCCGAGCGGCTCGACACTGTCGCGGCGCACGTTCGGGCTCGGCGGGCGGTCGCAGCATCGGTCGTGGCGCAGTCCGGCGATGGCCTCAAGATCAAGATTGTGGCCCAGGCGGTCCTTGGCGTCATCGGCCTTTCGGCTCATGGCCACATCCCGCAGCAGCCGCAGGCCTTCCGGGAGCTCGCCAACAACATGGTCACGATCGATCGGGGGCACACGGTCAGCAATGGCATCTGCATGGTATCATATCGCTCTGGCTCCGCCCCCGGTCTGGTGGTGCGGGCGGCGCTCAACGGCACCGCAACGGGTACTTACTAACGGGTACTTTGCAATTTTGCCGAAAGTTGCCACTTTAGGGCCTCTTTCTGGCAATGCAGCGTTGCCCGCATCGGGAAGGGTTGGGTTCGCTGGGTCACTGGCCAAAGTATCCGTCAGTGGAGTCCCCGTTTGAGGGGCGCTGCAGCGCCTTGCCTGGCCCCGGCCGAGGCTTCGACGGAGATGGTGATGATGGCCACAGCGGCGGTCCCGGACGACGTCGGCCTCGGCCCGGCGAGAGCCCGCCGAGCGTGGCCCACTTGGGGGGGGGATCTGCCTCTGACCCGCGGAGTGCTGGCGCGCCTCTTTGCGGTAGCGGCGGAACCCCTCGCCGCAAGGCTTCAGGCGGGCGTGTCCCTCCACGGGGGGAAGCTTCAGAAGCAGCCCATGAAAACTTAGTCTGGGGGCGATTTGTTTTGACCATTTTTTGGAGCACTCTTGGGGGGGCATGTTCTGAGCATTTCTTCTTGCTCTTCGCCCCAAATCCCCCTGAAGGGGGACACGCCCGACTCAACGCGTGGTTCCTCGTCGCCGTGCCCGTCGGCCTGGCGCCCCTGCCCCGTCCGACCTCCCAGCGGCGCCGCCCCCCCACTCCATCTCGGACGCGGGGGGTCCTCCTGTGCAGCCTCGCGCAGAGGGGGGCGTGTGGGGGGGGGAGGGCTCCTCAGAAGCACCCCCCCGGCTCCTCAGGAGGCGCGGGCCTCCCTTCTGCCGCTCCTCGGAGGCACTCCACCTCGGACGCGGAGGTCCTCCTGTGCAGCCGCGCGCAGAGGGGGGCGCGGGGGGGGGAGGGGGGAGGGCCTCTCAGAAGCACCCCCGCTGCTGCCTCCTCCGCCTCCTCCTCCTCCGCCTCCTCCTTCTTCTTCTCCTCCTACTCTTCCTCCTTCTCCTCCTCCTCCTCAGGAGGCGCGGGCCCTCTCTCTCAAGATGCAGGGCCGGCGCCCTCCGGGAAGCAGCCTCCTCCCAGGAGGCCCGCCCCCCTCCCTCCACCCCCCCTCGAGGGCGCCGCCGGCCTGCGGAAAGGCCGCTGGTGCCGGGGGGCTGCCAGGCTCGGGCCGGGCGAAAGGGGGGGATTGGGAAAGGGGAGGGTACGAAATCTGCTGAATGCAGCTGGTTTCGGCCCCACCGAGGGGCCCATTCCTCGACACATAGCCGCCTCCCGGCGCTGGGAGGCGCCGGGAAAATCAGCTACGTGAGCTGATTCTCACCCCCCCCCCTTTGCTATCCCCCCCGTTTGCCCGACCCGACAGGCTGCCCTTGGACAGATGATGGACGCCCATTTCCAGGGCTGGACCCAAACGCTGTTTTGCTGGACTTCGGCTGCGTTTTGGTTTGCGTTTTGGCAGGGGGGTACGGGAAAACAGGGAGAACAGAACGAACGACAAAACGAGAGCAAAACGAACAACAGCGTTTAGGTTCAGCCCTGCCCATCTCCAGGCAAGCCGAGCGATGTTAGACTGAAGTCGGGCGTGCCCCTCTACAGGAGGAATACTCAGAACTGGTCAAAAAGTAGTCTGGGGACGATTTGCTTGACCATGTTCGACCATGTTGGTGCACTGTTTGGGGACACGCCCGACCTAATGCTAGACCAGAAGCGCGGTGCCGATGTTCGTGTCGAAACTTCTGATGGCGCTGGTTGCGCCGACCCTTTTTATGGAAGCTGATCGTGGCGATTGTGATGGCGCTGCTGTTCGTGCCGATCTTCCTGGCGTCGCTGTCTGCACCGAGCGTCCTGAGGAAACTGTTTCGTGCCGATCATGGTGCTGCAGATGTTCGTTCCGATCCCCCCGATGGCGGGACGGCTGCCTTTCGCGAAATGATGGGTGATTTTTCCCTGCAAGCAGTGCGATGCTAGACCAGGGGCTCGGCGCGGCTTTTGGTGTCGACGCTGTCAGTACTGAGCTTCCTGTGGGGGCTCTTCGTGCCGATCGTGCTGATGTACACGTTCGTGCTGACTTTTCGGGTGACGACGTGGCCGCTCTTCACACAACGACGGCTGACCCCTGCAAGGCCAGGCGATGTTTGACCATAGGAATGGAGAGGCTGTTGATCTCGATCTCCCTGATGGCGCTGGCCGCGGCGGCCTCCGTGAGGAGTCTGTTCGTGACGCTCGCGATGATGGAGCTGCTCGTGGCGGTCTCCCTGGCCCCTCTCGGGTCGCTGGGCCCGGTGTTTGGCCCCTCGGGCGCGCTCGCCTCTTGGCGCCCTGCCCCCTTTCGCCTCGCCTCGTCGTGTTGTCGCCTCCCCTTCCGTCTCCTGTCCTCCCTGTCGTTTCCGTGCGTTGGGGTTGTCGTTCCTTCCCCCTCGGCCCCGCCGTCCTCTTCCCTTTGGTTCCCGTGTCGTCTTCTGTCGGCCGCCCCCCCGGGGGTGGGGCGTGCGCCCCCCGAGACTCCGGAGGGCGTCTGCTCCTGTCGGTGCTTCAATTAACGCGGTGCGCGCGGGAGGAGCTGGTTCTCATCACGAGTCACCATCATCAGCATCATCAGGACCAACATCACCATCATCCTCAGCATCTTCGTCCTCATCATCATAGTCGTCCTCGTCGTCGTCTTCGTCGTCATCAGTGTCATCATCACCATGATCATCATCATCATCATCATCACCATGATGATGATGATGATCATCATCATCATCATCACCGCCGTAGAAGTTTGCAGACCCACTTTGGATGAATCTCCGCCCACGTCGGGCCCGCAGACATGGAGCGCTGCGTGTCGGGGCTGCACCGGGAAGCCGGCGGCGAGGTCACGCAGGCGCGGCCCGACCACGTGATGGGCTGGCCAGGGTTGCCCACGCCAACGTGGGTGGACGCCGCTGCTCGCTCGCCTGGCGAGGCGGGGGCCGGCTGCGCGAGCCACCGGCCGTGCGGCCTTCGACGCGGAGCGGGATGAGAGGGACGGGTACGGCGACGCGGTCGAGATCGAGTGCCGGCTCGGCCCTGCTGCGCAGCGCGTCGCTGCGGACGGCAACGTTGCGCGGCGCACCGCGGTCCTCGACAGCGGGCCGGTAGGCCTCCCCGTCGCGGACTTCGCGCTGCAGGTCTCGGCCAAGGCGTTTGTTGCCCTCACCGTGCGCTTGGCTGGGCTGCTGCGTGCGACGATGCAGCACGCCGAGGTGGGCCCATAGATGGGCGCACGCAGGCTGCCCTGAGCGGCCAACCGTTCCATCACTTCGCAATGCGCCGTTCGACTTGCCGCTGCCAGGAGACTGCCCGATCATCAGCGTCATCGTCATCAGCATTGTCATCGACATCATCGTCACCACCACCATCACCATGACCATCGCTGCTGTCGTCAACATCCATCACCATCACCACCATCCCGCTTCCCTTCAGCATCATCACCGTCATCACCGTCATCACCATGACCATCACCAGCCATCACCATCAGCATCACCACCATAACCATCATCATTACCATCATCATCACCGTCACCATTGTCACCGTTATCATCACAATCAACACTATCATCGCCATCATCATCATCACCATCAGCATCATCACCATCATCATCGTCATCGGCCAGACCCTCTGTCCAAGGACCAATGTTTTGTGCTCCCACTTCTTTTCCAGCCGAAGGGAAGGGCCGTGATGAATTTCCACGGCCGTGGGACGGGAATCACAAGACGTGATTTTGGAAATTGAAGGGTCCATCCTTGGAACGCAATTCAGTCGATTGCCAGCCTTCAAGCGTTGGGGCCAGTTTCGTTATATATGCGCTGGGCCGGCATCGCCAAAACAGGCAGTGATGGGAATCTCGGCGGGTACCCGTGCGATATACATCAGAAGAGGGAAACTCATAAATATTGCATTTCCTTGCCATATGATCTGGCAACGGTTTTTGTTGGACCGGGCCCGTTCAGGACTTACTAATCGGTCGCTCAAGCCTCTGTGCATATAATTAGACGGGAACATTTGCATGAAATCAACAGTTCCAGAAGCCCGCGCGTATTTGTTGGATCTGCGCTGGGTGGCCCTGGTGGCGCATCTACCGCCGCTCGTGGCGCACTCCGCGCGCCATGCAACGGGGCCCAACGCCGATCCAAGAAACCCGCGTAGCAACATTGAAAAGGAGGGTGAGGACGATCAGGGCGAAGAGGAGGAGGAGGAGGAGGGTGGAACGATAAGTGAGCATCAAACATTAGATATACGGTGGAGAGAGAGAAGGACAGAAAGAGAGAGGGAGAGAGGAAGAGGGTGATAGAGTGACAGAGACAGACAGAGAGAGAGAGAGAGTGAAAGAGGGAGCAGCGACCAGCGACAATGGCAATGCATGCAGGCTCAACAAGAGTAGTGAGGGAGGTCGTCCAACGCAGCAGCAACAGCAGACGAATGGTTCCCGAGTTTCGTTCTGGCGCGTGGTCGAAGGAGTGTCGCCGTGCAAAGGGGTCTTGAAGGAGAGGGGTCCTTAACTGTTTCGCTGTTTTCGGCAGCCTGAGGCCGTTCCCGGGCCCGGGGACCGTTACGTTACTGCTCACGATGAGCGGCCTTATCTTGGCGAGGGTCCACGGCCAATTTTCAATTGGACTCCTCTTTCCCTTGTGCCAGGGTGTGTTGGTCAGAAGCGGGCTTGAGAAGGACCTCTTGCATATACCACATAGCATGTGCATTTCCTGCGAACGTGGTTCAAAGAAAGGCATGCGCACGCATTGGATATGGCTACGCTCGTGCCGCTGATTCACAGGGCCACGTGCTCGACCAGATGAATCGCGTATGCGGCATGTACGCAGTGTATGTTCTGCGTTGGATCCTTGGCACCTGCACGGTACTATTCGGCGTGCTGCTTTGTTATGATAAGCTTTCCCAGGACGCTGTGAACGCGTGCGCGAAGAAACTTCAAGGTATCAGCCCCCCGCGCGTCGGATTGCCGTCAAGGGAAAGCACCGGCATCCAGCAGCGGTACTGTAGTGGAAACGATAGTGCTAGAAGTTGAGTGCATCATGCTTTCTCGTGCTACGGATTTGTGAAGCGATGCGTCCCGCCGCCCTCGGCAAAATCTGCTCAAACCGCTCCTGGACCCTTTGGGTCCATTGTTGTCTGTTTGCCAGTCCGCGTCCAGACGTAGCGACGGTGGCTTCCCCGAAAGCCACATACCCAGGAGGAGGACGAGGACGACGAGGAGGAGTATGAGGGGAGTAGTCGGCGTCACGACTCGGTCTCAGGGAAAGCGGAGGAGGAGGAGGAGGAAGAGGAGGAGGAGGAGGAGGAGAAGGAGGATGCGGGCGACGACGAGGAAGAGGAGGAAGACGACAAGGAGAAAGAGGAAGACGACGAGGGGAAGGAGGAGGAGCAGGATGAGGAGGAATAATGTGAGGAGTGGATGGAGGCGGAGAAGGATGCCCAGGAGAGGGAAGAGGAGGAGGGAGGAGGAGGGGACGGGGGAGGAGGCGGAGGATAATGGCCCTGCCCTTCAAGACCCTCTGCTCGGGTGTTTCAATTGTTTGTGACGCGGGTCCTCGGGGATCTCGACCCTTTTTCCCAGCGCCGCCGAGTCATGCAGAGTACTTGTTGACGGCCTAGGGGCCAGGAAAATGGCCTCCAGATGCCGAACACGTCGCGATGTTGGTTGGCGTCGCCCGGATCTGGGCTCGGCGCGTTCCTCCCCCCCGAGAGTGGGAGGAGGAGGAGGAGGAGGAGGAGGAGGAGGAGGAGGAGGAGGAGGAGGAGGAGGAGGAGGGAGGAGGGGGAGGAGGAGGAGGAGGAGGAGGAGGAGAGGATGAGGAGGAGGAGGAGGAGGAGGCGGAGGAGGAGGAGGAGGAGGAGGAGGAGGTGGAGGTGGAGGAGGACGAGGGTGGAGGGTGGAGGAGGCGGGAGCCTCCCGCTCCTGTCTCCCCTTATCCGCCCTTGTTTCCCCCCCCGGTTTCCCTGCGTATCCTCCGTCCCTGTTCTCATCCTCCGTCCAAGCATTTATCTCGTTCCTCCCCTTCATCCACCTCACCCCTGCTCCTCCTCACGTTCCTCCTCCCGCCTCTTCTCCTCGTCTCCATCCTCCCCCTCCTCCTCCTCCTCCTCCTCCTCCTTCTCATCCTCCTTCTCGAAGCTCGAAGCTGCGGACTTGTCTGCTTATCCAGCTGGAGCCCTCGATGGCCTCCGCCCAGCTGTTGCCAGACAGGGTCAACGAGAGGAGATAAGCAAGATCGACGGGATGGTGGTGGACGGATGATGATGATATGGTGAGGATGATGATGATGCTGATGTTGATGTTGATGCTGATGATGATGATCATGATGATGATGATGATTCCGCTGATGATGATGATGCTGATGATCATGATCATGAACATGATGATCATGAGCATGATGATGATGGTGATGGTGGCGGTGGTGATGATGATGATGATGATGATGATGATGATGATGATGATGATGATGATGATGATACTGGTGATGATACTCATGATGATGCTGGTGATGTTGCTGATGATGCTGATGATGATGAGTATGATGATGATGCTACTGTTGTTGATTATACTGATGCTGATGATGATACTGATGACGACGATTATGCTGCTGATGGTGATGATGGTGATGGTGATTGATGGTTCATGCTGCTGATGCTGACGGTGATGCTGATGCTGATGATGATGATGATGGTGATGGTGATGCTGATAATGATGCTGATGATGCTGATGATGATGCTGATGATAACGATGATGCTGATTCTGTGATGGTGCTGGTGATGATGATGCTGATGATGATGATGATGGTGGTGGTGTTGATGATGGTGGTGGTGGTGCCGATCATGCTGATCATGATGATGATGACATGACGATGCTGATGGTGGTGATGGTGATATTGATGATGGTTGTGGTGTTGATGATGATGTAGGCACCTGAGGGGAGGGAGGGAAGGCGAGGCTGACTGGCGGCGCGGTGCGTGTGCGGGTGTTGTTGAAAATGTTGATGTTGATGATGATGCTGATGATGACGATGATGCTGATGATGCTGATGGTGATGATAGTGATGGTCATGGTGATGGTGGTGCTGCTGATGCTGACGGAGATGCTGATGCTGATGATGATGGTGGTGGTGATGTCGATAATGATGATGATGATGACGATGATGATGATGATGATGATGATGATGATGATGATGATGATGATGATGACGATGATGATGATGATGATGATGATGCTGATTTTCATAATGGTGATGATGATGATGACGATGATGCTGATGATGCTGATGATGGTGATGATGGTGGTGATGGTGATCATGGTGGTAGTGGCGATGGTGGTTTAGATGGTGGTGGTGATGCTGACGATTATGTGGGTGTGCGGTGATGATGATGATGCTGATGATGATGATGATGATGATGCTTATGCTGATGCTGATGTTGATGCTGATGCTGATGCTGATGATGATGATGATGATGATGATGCTGGTGGTGGTGGTGAGGGTGACGATGTTCATGCTGATGATGATTATGCTGATGACGATGATGATGATGATGATGATGATGATGATGATGCTG